TATAAGGCCATAAAATAACAAAAACAAATAACTTTCTTAAAATATATACATATGTGCCCATTTTCGCGCGGCCACCGCGTGACCAGTTTTTATTTGTAAAAAACGATATTTTCATTTCCCAATACCTGGCGTTCATACATGTGCAGTAACAACCCTGCAAACCATTTTTTCAGAGTATTCTGCATTGTAAAGAAATTTTAAAGAATTCGTTAAGATTTAATTCGATTTTTTGCCGAATTTTCTAAAATGAAATAAATTACGCACACTTCCATTCTTTTACGAAATTTCGGAAGAAAATCTGTGAAGTAACGAAAATATTGCTGCTATGTGAAGAATATCTTTCAGAATTTTTCCAGAATTTTCTTTATTTTTCGTACAGAAAGAAACAGGGTGCAAACCAAAGTTCCCGAAATCTTAAGGAAATCGTTAGGAGTATCTCATTTCTGTAACGATTTTTTTACGAATTTTCAAAGAAAATTATATGAAGGGGTTGACACGAACTCATAAAGAAATTTCTGTACGAAAAATAAAGAAAATTCTGGAAAAATTCTGAAAGATATTCTTCACATAGCAGCATTATTTTCGTTGCTTCACAGATTATCTTCCGAAATTTCGTAAAAGAATGGAAGTGTGCGTAATTTATTTCATTTTTGAACATTCGGCAAAAAATCGAACTAAATCTTAACGAATTCTTTAAAATTTCTTTACAATGCAGAATACTCTGAAAAAATGGTTTGCAGGGCAGGTAAGTATTCTATTTCTACGTACAACATTGTTTGTATAAATTTTTAAATTTCCTAAATTCTACTTTGTAAAGTTCAAAGGCTTCTACAAAAAAGAAACTAAATTAAAAAGTTCTACAAACAAATTTATATGTACATATAGAAAGCTTGTTACTTCATGCTCTACCCAGAATTGCAGCGGACGACGGCAAAGCGGTCGGCGGTAAGTGAAGAACAGCTGTAAAGTTGCCGCAGTGAAATCCGTCAGAGTAAATACAATTGCGGCGCACAGCGGCTTCCGTCAGTTGTCATTATTTTTTGAAACGTATCATTAAAATGAAATATTTTTTCGGTACGTGCGTGTGTGTAGATTTACTCAAAATAAAAACGGATGAACCCATTGCCAAACTTGTGGAAATAATAGAAATTACTACAATCAACACTCAATCTAAGTTGTGCCGTCCCCGCTGGGCGGTAAATTTAGAAATAAGTTTAAATCAACCGAAAAACGTCGGCGGTAAAAACGCCGCCGCCGCAGTTATGAGCCATTCCATATGCCTTTGTGAGTTTTAATTTTGACAGCGGTTAACCGTCGACCGTTTTACCATCGTCCGCTGCAATTCTCGGTAGAGCTTCATATGTATGAGCGCCTGGTATTGGGAAATAAAAAAATCGCTTTGTATAAATAAAAATTTGGTTCGTTATATAAAATTGACTGCAAGTTTCTTGCAAAAACATGCAGTTGGTTTTAAAATGCATGGACTGAATATCTGAAGCTGGTACGTACTTTTAGTCATAGCTAATGCCTCACCAAATTGTAGCAGTGGCAGAAAAGCAGAAGCAAAACGACTATTCTCTACTATAAAGATTTTCTTCTAGTGTCAAGGCATATTTTTTCAGTGTAGTACTGAATGATCATAAGTCTTTGCATTCAACCAAAATTTACAATCACGATGATTGCGAATGCTTCTGTTACATTCACATTCTATACTGAATGGAACTGTAACATTCAATAGCACATTACGTTTATTTTTCTTTCAAAATAATTTAAGCTACTCAGGAATGAGGTTTTTATACCCGAGCGCACTTGTGCACAAGGGTATTATAACTTTGTTCACATAACGGCAAAACGAATCGAGATAGATATATGTAGATGAATGTATACATAAATGATCAGAATGAAAAGAGAAATCCTACCGAAATGCCTACCTCCCATATAACGGTAATCTTCAGAAATACGAAAACTGCGATATTTTAGTAACTACTGAAGATTATTCACTCAAAATTAATATTTACAATAATTTTTAGATGAAGAATACGAATATTATGCATTTTTGAAAATGGGCGTAGCCACGCCCACTTATGGTTACATATGTATGTAACCGCTGCACCAATTTCTTCAAAACTTGGCACAGTTGTTGGTCTGGGTACAACATACCAAATGGCCGAAAATTGTTAAAATCATACAATAACCACGCCCACTTCCCATATAACGGTAATTTAGAAAAATACGAAATCTTCGATAAATCAGTAAATACTAAAGCTAATTTATTCAAAATTGATGGTTGCAACAGTTCCTTACCAATAAATACATTTATGATAAAATTGTGGAAAATGGGCGTGGCACCGCCCACTTATAATCACATATATGTATCTCGGTAACCGTTGTACCAATTTGTACCAAACTCGGTACGGTTATTGTGCTTGCCACATAAAAGTAAAACGTTGAAAATTATTGAAATCGGCCGCTTTTAATATAACGGTAAATTTCAAAAATGCTTGAATCTTCAATATTTCGAAATTTAAGGACGATAACTTACTAAAAATTTATACTAAAAACAATCTCTTGAAAAGAAGTAACATTGTTTGGAATTTTGGAAAATGGGCGTGATATCGCCCATCGTGACTATATAAGTTTATCTCATTATGTCTAACTGAACGTTCTATCGAAGTTGCTTAAAATAGGGGTAAACCACCCCTAAAGGTGGAAAACATAAATTTAATACTTGCACCGGGTATTTAACTGCCCGTCTCCACAAGATAAAGTTTATATCTTGATACATATGTTAGAATATAAATAGCCAATGGAGACCGCTCATTGCTCGTCAGGAGCAATATATATCAGAGCTTATATCTTGCCATCTATTGCCGCCAATTTGGTAGTTTGACAGCTACATTTTCATTTGCACGAAAACTTCGTGGCTGCAACATCATTATTATTTTAATATAAGAGCAAAAATTGAGCTGTTTCCTGTTAAAATATTTGTAATTATATACTTGGATGTAAAATAGCCTATTTTCTAAATTTTTTAAGCGATTAAATCCGGCAAAAATACATTTTCAAAGCTATCTTACAAATGCTTATATCAAGATATAAAAAGGCCACACAAATATTGCCACTGATATAACTTATATCTAGCGACCAAAATGACAGCTGGGCAGCAATAAATTTTATCCTGTGGAGACGGCGAGTAATGTTCGGCTCCGCCCGAACTTAGACTTTCTTACTTGTTTTTTTTTATACAACTAAACAATCAAAGTTTTTAAAAGAATGTCGAGTGAATGCAGATCCCATTGATTCAATCATTTTACAGCTCTGTTGCGTTCCTATACGCAAATGGTTAGGTCCTCCAGTTTATGTTAAACATATCGTCGGTGATACTGCAAAACGTTCTATGTCACTTATTACCTCTGGTGCTTAATTGATCTGTTATCTGTATCTGATCGCTTCTGACCATTCGTGTTAATCAGCCAAAGGTAGACAGTTTTGTCATTAGTTTATTAGGGTGTAACGATTTACAGATGCATTTCGGTGCACGTAAGAGACCATCTATGTGTCAAGGGTACTAATATACTTATACCGTTTGCAGTATCACCGACGATTGCCTGCCAGTGCAAAGGGTAATGCTTAACTATGTATGATTTATGTCTTTCCATTAACAACGTCCACCTTGACCACAATGGCTTTCTATGCACAATATTTCTTATTGTCTGCTTTCTAATGCAATTTACACATTTATAAATGTCACAAATCAATATTTTTCCATGAACACATTGCATTTGAATATCAGTAGGTGAATGTTGAATCATTCGGACAGTTTTAAGGCTGCAGCCTTGGTTACTCAGAGAAAGATAGAAATATATTTAATTTTTTTTATTAAAAACTATCTCAAGTACGAACTTAATGTCAATTAAAATGCCAATGCGCATTAATTAATTAATTAATCCCAACGGGTTTTACCCTCCATTCCCGCCCAACCGACACGAGGGGCGCATGACGTAAGGAAACTTTTTTTTTGTGTTGGAAACAGGCGGCCGCTGTGGTGTAGTAGTAAGCATTGAGCGCTTCCACTCCGCAGTGCCTGGGTTCAAGCCCTGGTCAAAGCAACATCGCAAAAAATTTAGAAAAAGGTTTTTTCTTAACAGCGGTCGTCCATCGGCAGGCAATGGCAAACCTCCGAGTGTATTTCTGCCATGAAAAACAGTTTCTCATAAAAAATACAATCGCCGTTCGGAGTCGGCGTAAAACTGCAGGTCCCTCCTCTTTGTGTTACAACATCAAGGCGCACGCCACAAATCGGAAGAGAAGCTCGGCCAAACACTAACGTATGTATGTGTAAGCGCCAATCTATTATTATTATTAGTGGAAATAGGAGTTGGTTAAGTGTCGAAATCTGAAACTATTCAGCTACAGAATCAAATTTATAAGCTGAACGGACATTGGATATGCTAAAGATAGTATGTATTTCAATTATTGAGAGTGAAAATGATGAAAAATAGAGGTCGAAAGTGTCTTGACACTCGAGAGGGAACATTAAAATTTACCTCAGCCAGAAGGGCCGGGCTATTAATCAAGCCTGTCATTTATTTTACGATAAATATTATACCTAGCATCTCTACGACTTGCGAGTGTAGGCAAGTTTATGAGCTTTAGACGGCTAGTGTAAGGGGGGAGATAGTAGTCTGAATCCCAGTTAAAATCACGCAATGCAAAAAGCAAGAATTGTTTTTGAATTGATTCCATCCTATCTGAATGAACTTGGTACCGGGGATTCCAAACAATAGATCCGTATTCTAGTATAGGTCTAACTAAAGTGGTAAAAAGAGCTTTTGTAACATAAGGATCTTTGAACTCTTTTGACCATCCAAGTCTAAATCTTGCATACGTTTTATATTTATGGTTCACAATGCTTTACGGCTCATTTAAATCCTTCTTAAAACAAAATTAATTTTTGGACAATCTAATCTTTTAAATTTACCAGATTTTAATGTTTTTCTTCTTCATTTATTTTTTAGTACTTGCGACACATTGAGTGGCCCGCAGCAAGAAGTCAACCATTAAATAAAAAATAGTCATCTTTTCATTCGAGTTAAATAATTTTGCAAAATATTCAACATGGAACTAGAGTCGAGCATTGCTATTCTTCAGAATTTGCGTTTGCAGATTTGCAGGTTTGATTCGATAGTTTTTGCCTCTTATCGCACCGCCTCTAAATTGCGTTACATACAAAAATCGACAAATTTACACTTGGTGGATATTTGGAATGTAATCGAGGCATTTCGTGAGAATGGTTTGAACACATTGGAACCGCAAAGTGAAGTGAGTGTGGCACGACTAGAAACACTCGTCTCATCACTCTATCATAACTTAAATAAACGTCTTCCCACGGCCCAGCAAGTACCCGTCGACTCGAAGGCTGGCCTCTTGCTGAACTGGCTTTTAGCGGCGTATACAAGGTAAGTAGAATTCTTGGAGCCTCGATTAGTGGTCATTATCTTTCAAATATTTATGTATTTTTTTTTTGTTTTGCAGCGACAATTCTGGCAAAATACGTGTATTCTCAATCAAGGTGGCGTTGGCGACTATGTGCTCTGGAAAACTGGTTGATAAATTGAGATGTGAGTTATGTGACCAATAAAGACGATTTCATTTTATTTTGATTTTATTTTATTTATGTATTTATTATTTTAGTTTATCCTTTTTACTAGGGATGTGCCGGGTATCAGGTAGATATCCGGAATCCGGCCTTTTTTTCTGGTATCCGGCCGGATTTCCGGATTTCGATTACAGAACATTCAGATTATTATAATCAAATAATAATAGTATCTAATTAGTAATTGGAGTTAAAAATGTATATATTTTTCATTATGGAAAGAAGCATTTCCGCATTACCGGTCAAGAACCCATTTCTATTTTCAACATAAATGCTACCCGGTGCACTAAGTACTCTTTTTGAGTTCACTGAGGAAGGTCGTTCGTAGAGATACTTCATTACCGGTGTAAACATATTTGGAAATTCTTTGCGACTATAATAATAATATATTAGTGCTAACATATTTGTTAGTGTTTGAGCGGGTTTCTCCTCCGATTTGTGGCTTTCGCTATTAGAAAAACTTTTTTTATGCTGGGTTGAACCGGGATCATTTTTTCTCACCCGCGGCGTTCATTGTTGTTTATCTTTTGTCTTTGATGTTTCTATTTACCAACATTAATCGATAAATGCGGGTTGCAGACAGAGAACACGATATCCGTAATCCGGTTATCCGGCAAAATCTATGACCGGCACATCCCTACTTTTTACTTTATATTATTGTATGTTATTTTATTTTGTTTCATCTTAATTTATTTCACCGAGCCCTCCCTGCTTCATTTGATTTTCCCTTTTTTTATGGTATCACGTTTTATAATATATTTTACTTTATTTTATTTTACTTTATCTAATTCAATTTTACTCTACTTTATACAGTTTTATTCTTATTTATTTTAGGATTATATTTTTTCTAATTTCCGCTCATAACCTTTCTTTTTTTTTAAACTTTCACTCTTTTAGATATCTTTTCGCAAATATCTGATGGCGCTGGTCAGTTGGTACCTTGGAAGTTGGGTGAATTTTTACGCGAGGTACTGGCTTTACCTGCCGCTGTTTACGAATCTCCAACATTCCACTATAAAGACGGCTTGGAGGAGGAAATATTTCCAGCTGAGAATAAGGTCACAGTGAACGATTTCATGGCAACACTTATGTCTGAACCGGGCCCATCCTGCCTTGTTTGGCTACCGCTGTTGCATCGTTTGGCCACTGTTGAGACAGTTGTACATCCGACAATCTGTTCGGTATGTCATAAGGAGAATTTTACGGGATTTCGTTATCGTTGTCAGCGGTGCCACGCCTACCAATTATGTCAAGAGTGTTTTTGGCACGGCAAGACATCACTGAATCATCAGAAAGATCACGAAGTCAAAGAGTATTCCAGTTATAAATCGCCCAGTAAACAGATCGGCCATTCGCTGCGAAAGAGCTTCCGATGTGTGCCCGAGAAGACGACACAAGTGTTGCCACGTTTCCCCGAGCATCCGGAAAAGACATTGAATCTATCCCATATTGTACCGCCATCGCCATTGCCGTCGCACAACGGTTTCACCGATCCGCCACTATTGCATGGCGGCGGACCTGGTGGCGCACATAGTGGTGGCCTGTTGTATGATCGCTCCAGCACGTTGGATTCACGTGCCACTGGACGCAGTCTGGACAGTGCCACCGCTGCTAGCATGTCACGCATGGCCACCGCTTCGGCCAACGATGAGGAACATCGCTTAATTGCACGCTATGCCGCACGTCTTGCCCAAGAGAATCGCGCCGTGAGTTGTGATTATAGTTTTTATAATTGAATCAGCAATATATTGAAACAAATGATTAAATTTTAAATTTCTTTTCTTCTATTGTTTCAGCCGATCAATGCTGCTGGCAATGCAGAGAATGCTAGTAGCATCGGTTCAGATAATTCGCGTGCTCAACGCGAGCTAATTGCTCAATTGGAAACTAAAAACAAGGAGATTATGCGGGAAATTGCCAGATTACGCCGTCAACAGGAAGTCGAACAAATTACACCCGAGAATCCAGCGTTGCTAAACGAACTGCGGGCATTGCGTCAACGTAAAGGAGAACTAGAGGGTCATTTGGGCGCCTTGCAGGACTCGCGCCGTCAACTAATGGATCAATTGGAGGGCCTCATGCGCATGTTAAAAAATCAACAAACAACCTCACCACGTTCCACACCCAATTCCAGTCCACGTTCGGGCAAGTCGCCACCTATGCCTGGTGGGGGTATCGGTGCAGCAGGTGGCGGTGCTAATTCGCTGAATATTGCCGCAATGCATTCGCAACAAGGCCAACCATCGGCACACTCTTTAATGATCGGTGGTGGAGCCGGCGGCAGTGGTCGTCCAACGCAGCAACAACTAATGCAGGCACAACAGACTGGGGCGCTTCAAGCGGCACAACAACAACAACAGTCCTTCAATTCAAGTCAACTGGATCAATTGAATCAAATAAGCAATGAAGTGCGTTCGGCATTTACAGGCAATACAAGCTCAAGTAAGTGCTCCATAAAAACGTAAAGCGATAACGTATGTAATTTTATGATATTAAAGAACATTAAGTATTGGGGATTGTGGGTATGAAATCTTTGAGTCTATTAGAAGAAGTTCAAGAGTGTAATGTTTGATTTTTGTAAATTTATGTTATTAAATTATTTATTTATTCTGTATTAAACTAAATATGTGGCAACACAGTATTTTGGTACTGTGAAGACTTCTAATTTCAGATTTCTACTATACATTGAAATGAGGAAAAAAATTTCAATAACATAGTTGGCCATTAAATAATAACTAAGTCATTACATTCTAACGACAGTCGAGTTGACGTAACAAGAATTACCCATCTTTATATACATAATTCAATTTTATAAGAAAATAGAGTGAAAGTTTGTGGTTGCTAAAAAATCTAGTTGGTTTTTGATAATGTTTTTGAGACTATCGCCTCTAACCCAACCTATAATAAAAAGTAGGTAAATGTTTTTGGACTTAAAATTAAATGAATATTCTTTGCGTTAAGTAGACGAATACTTTCCATCCACAATTTTTATGAAGAATGGTTCGGACTAAGAATAGTACCGTTCCACATAATAGTTTCATTTTCAACTCAAAACACTTCATTATGATGACAGAATAGAAATTTGAGGAAAAATTGGATAGGAAACAATTTTTCGTTGAAACCTCATCCAAGCGCACCGTGCGTAACATGGCGTGGCAGCTTTTGTCAACTAAGGGGCTAAGGTACCCTACGGGAGAAGGGAGACTCATCGGCAGGGCCGTAGCCAGAGTTAAATATAAGGTAGGGCTACTGCGGTTTCAAGTAGGGCGGAAGCAGGTGGAAGTAAAAATTTTGATTTCTAGTTATTTTACTTGTGAGCATCAGTATAACTTAGTTATAAAAGGCACGATTGAACCACGTGGACGAAGGACGTAGGTGTGCCAATAAGACCAAAAACAATTATATTGTAGGTTTGTATTTATTTCCAATTAATACTATCTAAGTTGGTTCAGGCCTTTTATAAATATTAAAAATACATTCTTTAATACAGTTGAATACGATATACGCACGTTCCTATTATTTGCAAAATGGTAACCTTTGCTGCATAAACGCTGAGTTAAATTTTTTATTTGCAAATAACTTAGGTCGGTGTTATGCAGAAATGCACACCAAAAAGAGAATTCTATTTGGTAAGGGTTAAATCCTAAAGTGCGGCCGAAGGCCGCCTACGCAGAAAGAAATTCTGCCCCTTGGCAACACAGCGAAGAGAATTCCGAGTAGTAAGGGTTATAATCCCTAAACGCGGTCGAAGGCCCCCCCTCTAGCTCCGCCCCTATTAATTTCCAGTAAAAATGGTTTACACCTTTCAAATCAGTAGAAAGGAGCGGACCACGCCCACTTTTAATTTTTGTTTTATCTCAACGGCCGCTATACTGCACTTATGCCCGACCTTTACCCCCCTATTATGAGTTGCATTCGATCTTCGACTGTGGTCGAAAGCGCTGATCGAAGGAATTTTCATTTGGTATTATGACGCTCATTCGATGAGGAATAGCGCTATTGTGAATTTCGCTCGTTTAGGTTGCTTACAATAGTATATTTTTCACCGTTGAGAAGCTTTGTTTACAAATCGGACATACTAAATGGTGTGCCTATACATTTTTATGTAAATTTGTTCAAATTAAAATGAAGTAAAAAAGAAAACGAGTTTATAAAATGTTGGTAAAAATTAGTACAACGGAGTTCTGGTCGACGATTCGTCAGAGGATGAGGGCTTAGTAAACTGGCCAGGAGTAGAAAACGTTTAAGTGTAGTTTATCGAATATGTATATATTTTGACATACATGATTTGAATAAGAATTGTTTAAAATTAGTGTCTAGCCGCCAAAAAGCAAGAAAACAAATGCAAAATCATAAATTTTTCACAACTTCCTAACACTTCGCTACAGCATCGAAAGCAAAATTCAGTTCCACAGAAAATTAGATACTCAACGAAGCGCGTTTGTATAGATCACAATACGAATTTCACATTCGATATTTGATCTTCGATAGCCAGAGAAGATCGAAAATCGAATGGAAGTAAATAATAAGGGCCTTGTTAGTCACGCAAATAAGTATTGATTAGTGATATTTTTTGGAAATAAGCGAAAGACGTTGCCATTCTTAAGTTTATTTTCTTTTTCTATGGTCATCGTATTGCCTTTTTAGAATTTGGTTGAAGAACGCCCTATCTCAGAATTCGGTTCAAAAATGCATTATCTGAAAATACATTAAAAATGTGCTGATATAGTTTTTAAATGGGCAGCTGAGATAGGGCATTCTTTAACCAAATTCCTAGATAGGGCGTTCTTCAATTAAATTCTGAAGTAGGGCGTTCTTGAAAAGTTTTCTGATATAGGGTGTTTTCGAACTGGCTGCCGAGATAGGTCGATCTTCCACTCAGGTATCGATACGTAGTATTGGACAAATTGTCCTGGTGCCCTGGTCCAAATTTAAATTGTCCTGGTTTTTTAAAGAAGGTCAATGCAGGTGCCAAATCTTTTTTAAGGCTAGTCCCCCCATATTCCTGCAAAAATTCCACTATTTTCAATAGTATTCACCAAAAATAATAATAAAACAAATATCATTAATTTTTATGAAATAATAAGGACAATCTTCTTAAAACTATAATATTTCTGAGTATATCGATGGCCAAACATTGATAGCTCTTAACTGACATCGTGGTGAAACATTGAAAACTCATAAATGGCATATGTATGTATGTACATTAGGGCGGAGTAATTTGTTCGGAATAAAGTTTTCGAAGAAAGTGTATAGCGCGATGTCAGTTAAGAGTTATCAATGTTTGACCATCGATATATTTTTTTATGCACTAAAATCAAGAGAGGTTTTATTTTTAAATGTGGTTTTTAAGTAAAATTGTGCCAAGCCTATTTCTGATAGCAGTTTTTTAAATTAATTTTGGAAAAACTTTGCCAGACGTTGGCTTCGCGCCGAAAACAAAGTAAAAAATGATAGCGTCAAATATAAACGTCAAGTGAAAGAGTCGCAATGCACAGTTGCAATTTCTTTAATACCCACACGGTTGCATGAAGCAATTACTTTATGTTTTAAATCCGTAACTCTCACTAAGGTGTTGTTACAAGTTGTAATTATATTGTATATTGAATTCCCCTGAAATTTAAAGTCATTCCTCAATTTTTGGTAGAAAAAAATGTTAGGCTTCCTGTTATTAGTAATCGAAAATCGATAAAGAAACGTTTTGCTAACATGTTGAACATTATATGGGAAGTTTACCTTCTTTCTGTTTAGTTTATTTGGTTAAAATCTAATTTTTTATCTACAGGCAAATGACAAAAAAAAATACAGTACATACTACCTAGTAGATAATTTCTGGAGCTAAAATCTCTTCCGAAACGCCTATTTCAATGTAATTTTTTTCTCCTTTCTTGTTGGTAAATCAAAGGGCTTCTGCTTTCGCTACCCCAAGAAGAGCTTCCAGAAGGCCTTTTGGAGAAGTTCTTTTAATTCATAAAAATCATACCTTCTTGTTTAAGGTTCATATCAAATATGTCTTATTGAGGCTTGAAATGCTTATTTAATTTCGTTAGTAAGGCCAAATAATAGGTTTGTTCGTCCAAAATCCAGCAAGAAATTCTCTCTCAAGTTGAGAAACTTTCAAATTTCTGCACGAACGCAATTTTGCAAGAATTTTCAAGTTTCCCTGCCAGCTGAAGTCCACGGTGGCATTTCAACCATAATAAATATTTATAGAATTTTTAAAATTATTTCAGATGGACAAAAATATGATATACAGGTATATTTCTTGTTGTTCTGACTTTCTTTAAGATACATTTAAATTTCTTTATCGTCATAGCTGTCGGGTTTGTTAAATCGACTCTTGTTGCAATTGCATTCCGATTGCGAATAAAAATTTTTTCAGTCGAGTTAAGTTCAAATCATGGGAATTAACTAAATTAAGTATATCTACAAGTATTTACTTCCTTTTTTCATAAAAAATGGCCCGTGTTTATAAATTTTTAAATTTAACGAACTTATTTATTCAAATTATCGTAGACAAAAATGCAACCTTGTGCCATAATCATATGTGTTTCGTGATTGCAAATTCTTGCGGGCTAAATTGTTCCAGCAAGAATTTCTCTCAGGAGAACTGTCACTTTGCGCTCTCAGTTTTTGAGTGATGGATAATTTTTTGGTCTGCACGAACGCGATTTGGGCAAAAATCGTGATAATTAACTTAGGTACGTTTGCGTAAATTGTAAAAAGGAAAAACCTATTTGAAAAGAAAAAAAAAATGGCTGTGCGATGGTTATCAAATCGACTTATCCAAAATGCTTGTCAGTTACTCATGTTTTGATAAGTTGATAAGTTTTTTTTTTGATAAGTAAAAAGTGCAACACTTATCAACTTTACTTAAAAATAGACTTATCCAAAAGTTTTAAAGTGATAAGTGATAAGTCGTTGGTGCAATTGGGCCCTGTTCGATGGGTTCAGGCTTATG